TTAAAATTTACACTTAATCTATTAATAAAGTTTATTGGAGCAAGACTCCGTTGGATATAAAAAAAAAAAAAAAAAATTTGAAAAGGGTCGTACAAGAGAAGTTTCTAAATATAAATAATAATGAATAAATGTGATAATGCTGAACTTAATGATTTATATAATGGCAGGCTCATTCTGGTCACTAAGTTCTAACTTCTCTCTTATACATAACCCTTCTTCTGTATGGTCCTATGGCACAAAGCCTGCTGGTTATCAAACAACTGGAAACTTTAACTTATTTACAAACCTAGTTTCGAACCCAGATGGAACTGGTATAGTCGTCTGGTTTGCTCAAGGTAATTCATTCGGTAACTCCGGGCTAGGTGTCTATTATAACCCTAATCCAACAACTACTAACACTACCCTGGGTGGGAGTACCAATATGACATTTCCTGCAAGAAGTGTATGCATGCATCCCAGCTCTCTTGGTGTTTTCTCTATAGCAAGATTCACTGCACCGACAAATGGAAACTATAGCCTAAACGTGGCGTTTGCACATGTCGATGGTAGAGCTACTAATAGACATTCAGGAGGTTATATAGTATATAACAACCTTGAGATGCTTTGGGAGACAGATCTAGTTGACATCAGAGATTCAGATTCATACAAGTCAATTGAAAGTGGGATTACTGTAAGGGAAAATGAGACTATCGATTTCATTGTAGGCCTTGGCCTAGATGGCACGGACTTTTACGATATGACTTTTGCTCAGGTGGATATTCATTTATTGCTTGCAACTTTAACGACTGGAATCCTCCCTACAAGCATGATTCCAACAAATACAACGGCTACAACAAATTCAACGAATGGAAATAAAGTCAGAGTTATTATTGGATCACTCGGCACTTCATTGAGTCTCATTGTAGCTGTTATTCTGGTTTATGTCTACTACAGACATCGCAAGAATAAAGAATACCAACAAAGAGTCCCAGTCACATCTAGTGCTGATCATGAGGTTATTGAAAGTTGATTTCTTCCATTTACTTATTGTTTTATGAGAATGCAGGCAAAACTTTTGAACTATTTATTAATGAGGTTTGCGTAAAAGATGATGACGCCCTATATACATATATTTCATTATGAAAATTGTCCCAATATACATGTGTTCAAAAAATCAATAATATATTAAGATAGATTCATTTTAGTTGTTACATTAATGTGTAATATTCAGTTTTATATGTATATAATTCAGTTCAAATATAAATTTAAATGATTAACATAAACACAGAAATAAATCCAATATTTATTGAGAATTTGATAAATCTGACAAGTCCTATGCTTTGCATGGCGAATCATACTACAATGAATATGTATATTTAGTCTCAATTTTGCTACTATCTTTGATAAAAAGGATATAACCTATTAAACAAGTGATGAAAAATTATTGTAAATATTATAAAGATCCCAATAAAGCATTAGCGTATAATATGTTTGGATATTGATTCTTTCAATCGTCCAACTGCTAACACTAGTCGAAATGAGGCCTATCGGCAATCACAAAATTCGGCCAACTCTCGGCTAATTGCCAAATAAAATTTGGCCTAAATTTGGCTATCAATAAAATCCTACCAAAATTCGGAAATTCCAAATTTTGGCCGAAACTTAAAAATCATCTTAAATTCAGCTTTAAGTTAAGTTTCGACCAAAATTCAGGATTTCTGAATTAGTGCTGAATTTAATACAATATTTTGATATACCGAATTTTTGCCGAAATGCCCATTTCAGAAATATAATATTTCGGCAACAATTCGGTATATCAAGATTTTTTATTAAAATTCAGCCAAAATTCAGAATTTCCGAATTTTTACTGATAGCAGAATTTAGGCCGAAATATTATATAACATTTTTGGCCTAAATTCAGTCTAAATTCAAAAATTCAGAATTTGTGCTGAAATTTGATATAATATTTCGATATCTCTCAGCTGTCAATAAATTTCGGAATTTCTGAACTTTGGCTGAATTTATAAACAGCTGAATTTAGGTCAAAAATATTATATAATATTTCAGCTGTTTATAAATTCAGCCAAAGTTCAGAAATTCTAAATTTTGGCTGAAATTTATTGAAGCTGAGGGATATCGAAATATTATATTAAATTTCAGCTAAAATTAAGAATTCCGCTGAATTTATAAACAGCTGAATTCATAAACAGCTGAATTTAGGTCAAAAATATTATTTAATATTATAAATTCAGCCAAAATTCGGAATCCTGATTTTGGCTAAATTTTCGCTGAAATATAATATAATATTTTGATATGCTGTTTTATTTCAGACAGAATTTAAAAATCAGCCTAAATTTGACTTTAAGTTTAAACCAAAATATGATATTTGGCAATATTTATCAACAATTTTGCTGAAATTTGGAAAATTTCAGCTTTATTAATGAAATTCGACAATAATTCAGAAGCACTGGATGTTTGCAGAAAGTTAAAAATCAGCTATATATTTTTAAATTCAACCATTTTCTACTATTTTAAGCAGAATTTTGGCTGAAATTTATTATAAATAAAATTTATCCTAAATTCAGAATACTGAATTTTAGATGAAATTTGTTATTATTTTAGCAGTATAATTTTCATCTATTTTCAGAAATGTATTGTTAAAAATTAGCCAAAATATGCAGAATATTAATAATCTTAAATATCTGAAAGATGGCATTTCGGATATTAGCATTTAGGCCATTTTTATCCGATTTATTATGCATCTATAAATTAACATATTTTCAAAATATTTTGGATATGAAAAATCGGAAAAAAAATCAACTAATTTTTTAAAGAAATACTTTTAAAGTTTAAAAGGAAAGCTTAAATTATACTTTTATATACTTTCATACTTTTATCTATTTTTTTTATTTTCAAAAATACGTTTATTTTCTTGTTTTCTTTTTTTCTAAATTTATTTTCTTTCTTTTTCTTTTCATTTTTCTTCTTTATCTATTTCTTTCTTTATATTTTTTCTTTTTACTTTTCTTTTCATATTTTATAATATAAATTCATATTTTTTTTTCATATTTTCTTTCTATCACTTATATCATTATATTTTAAGAAAGAAAATCCAATAAATATATCGCCTTCCATCTATTTCTACACACATTAAACCTAAATCGACCAAAACTTCAAGAAAAGGGCCAATATTACCATTGTTATTCAATCAATATGGTTTTTGGAAGAAATTAGCATTAGTATATTGACATTTCATTCATTTTTTATTTCAACTTAATTCAGCAACATTTATTTCAGCAATATTTCAGCAAATATACTTCTATTATTTAAAAATTTGTATATATATTAAATATTGATAACTAATCAGCAATATTTGATAGGAACATTGATGAATATGATACAATTAAACAATATTTGATAGGTATATTGACGAATATTTTGGCCAATATACAGTATTTGTGGATATATTTATATTATTTGAGTATTTCGTCTATATATTATATGATACAATTCAGCAATATTTGATAGGAATATTGATGAATATTTTGGCAAGTATATTTGTACATATATTTTTATTATTTGAATATTTTGTTTATATATTAAAACATTGATGGCTATTCAGAAATATTTTGATAGGAACATTGATGAATATTATACAATTCAGCAATATTTGGCAGGAATATTGATGGATATGATACAATTCAGCAATATTTCAGTAAGTACATTTTTATGATAGAATATTTTATGTATATTAATATTTGAGTATATTTGATGCAAATTTAGCAAGTTTATTAAATAGGAATATTGATGAATATGATATAATTCAGTAATATTTTGGCAAGTATATTTATAGATATATTTGTAATATTGGAATATTTTGATATATATTAAATATTGATAACTATTCAGCAACATTTTGATAGGAATAT